AGCGCGGACTCCACGCACAAGCACGCGACATCCCCTCATCAATAGGAACTGGGTCACGATGTGGTCGCAATGCAGGAAAATACTCGTATATCCAAGTCTGCAATAGAGTCAGACACCCAGTGATACCTGCCGCGTCAGCCCGACTCGCAAATCCTAGTTGGCGATACAAATACGCCAACGTAGCCGATCCCCAGGAAAACTGGCCTACACTGTCGGGGTCACACGCCTCTACGATGTCGCGTGGCCTGAGCTTGTTTCCGCCGCTCTTATCCGGAAACAAGGTACATCCGAGGAGTAGAAAAACATAAGCACTCAGCTGTGCGTCGGGCGTCCTACGTGCACTCGGGTACAAACACCGCTGCAACACAGATGCGATCTTCACACCTCCGTGTTCCCAAACACCTAGCGCCTCGGTGTACAGTGCAGCCCTGTCCACCGCCAACAACTCCGCCAGCGAATCTGCCTGATCCGCATCAGCCACAGCACAAAGTCGTTTACCCTCAACACGAATCCCCAGAATGGCCTCGACGTCATGTAACATGATCGTCATCTCACCGAACGGAAGGTGAAAAGAGTTTGTATCCGGCTGCCATCGCTCAATGAAAGCCGTGATCAGCGTACTGTCAATCTTATCGTGCATGGTGGCAGGAACGTGCTTCACCCCAGTGCCCTCCAGTCGCTCGAACATCTCGCTCTCCGCCGGCCAGGCCTCAGCCCATGTACGCAAAAAACTACAAGTCTTTTCCCGGGTATGACATTTCAACAACCCCGTAACTGAAGGCCTCTCCTGGTCCTCCCAAATACGGGCAGCTATGTATCCTAGAAAGCTAGGAATCACACTCCCGTCAACAGGCCCACCGGGCACCTCACTCCTAACAACCCAAGAATCATTACCCGCCCTCGACCGTTTCCTGCTTGCCCCAGAGACAGTGGACGCAGATGATGTGCCAGATCTACTAACAAACCTACCACCCCTACCCTTACGCACCTCCACCATATGCGTCTCGTACATGTCATCAACCCTCTGACTGAATGGACCGTAATCATCATACGGTCCACTGCCATCGTCCACATCCTCATCCTCATCTGCGCCCTCCTCCTGCTCCTCCTCCTGGTCACCCTCCTCAGCATCATCATCGTCATCGTCATCCTCATCCCGACGGTGGATCCGTTCTCTACGAACTGAGGCCGAAATACCACGGGATCTGACATGTCTATGCCCCGACCTCTCCACTGAATAACTTCTACTAAGAAGCTCTATATTCTTCCCCCCACCATGACGACCCTACACAAAATTTTAAAATATATAAACATACAAAAATTTATACGATAAATAATCATCATCGCAAATCAAATACACTAAAAACAAACAAATAATAGTAAACAAAATATAAACGTAGAAAAAATACAACAAAATTGAAAAAATTTATAATAATAAACAACAAAATATTAAAACAATTCAAAATTATATTAAAAAAAAAAAAAAAAAAAAATTTAAAAACAATTTTTTAAAAAAATTAAAAAAAAAAAATAAAAAAATAAAAATGGGGGGGGCGCCCTGGCTGGACGCCCAGCCGGCGGTGGTGGCGCCAGATGCAGACGCCGCCACCAGTTGGCTGGCGTTTGGGCTGGACGCCACAGCTACGGCTGCGGCGCTTAGACTAAACGCCACAACCGTGGCGGTGGCGTCCAGCCCAGGCGCCAGCCAACTGGTGGCGGCGTCTGCATCTGGCGCCACCACCGCCGGCTGGGCGTCCAGCCAGGGCGCCCCACCGCGTTCACGGCGGTTTTCCCCTATTTTTTTTTTTTTTAAACAAAATATACCTTTCCACCTTGGGACATCCTTCCCTCCGCCGCCGCCGCCACTTCCTTGCCTTGCCGCCTCGACATTGCCGTTATTTTGAATATTTTTTTTTTAGAGAGGTTGAAAGAAGATGAGCAATGAGAGTGTGAGTGATGAGAGTGTGAGTGATGAGAGTGTGAGTGTTTTTTTTTTTTAGGTCAAGGGCAATTTTGGGAAACCAAGTGAATTTTGTGGGCTTTATGTAGTAATTTGTGGGCGATGTTTAACAAATCCCTGGACTTAATGGTATGCACCGAATATGAAGATATTATACATGCATTATTGCATTTAAATACGAGTATAAATAAAGTTATGGAGTAGTTGATGATCAATATCATTAAGTCATTGACGAAAGAATAAAATAATGGAAGTAGGGATATTTAGAACAGTTTAAATAAATGGCATTAGTAATTTGGTACTCCCTCCTTTTTTCTTTTTTCTTTTTTTTTTTGTAACATACACTTGCTATTTTTGTCGCTTATTTTAAAGTGAAATGGTTTCATGTAATCCTGAGGTTTTAAAAAATACACCATGTTTTCCTGAAAACTTTCAAATACGTCGTGTATTCTTGAAATTTGTAAAAAAAAAAAAAAAATTCAATAGAAATGGCAGATTTTTTGAATGACTTAAGCTCAATTTTTTTGTACACTAGTATCACGATGAGATTAACAATTCACAAATATTTAATAAAGGCCGGGGCACAATAAATTATTGTATGGCGGGCTTTGTTTGAAAATAAAAGTATCCAAAACTTCACTCCACATGCGCCAGCCAAACTTTCCTCTTTTTTTTTTTTTTAATTACTCCACCGTTTCTCTTTCCTCTTTATTTCTCACCCAACTTTCTCTCTCTTCCGCTCTCAATTTCTCTCTTCTTGGCTCAATTTTTCACCATTACAAATTCGATTTCTCAATTTTCTAGGCTTTATTATACATTTTTTCTACATTTTTCTTCTGATTATTGAAGTTTGATGAAATTTGTATCAATGAAGAAGATTAGTACAAAACTACAAATCCACCACATGCAAATATGTTATCTGAATTGTTTTTACGGTATTTCAGTATAATTTATGTGATTTTGCTATTGTTGAACTTTAATTTCAATTTTTAATTGTGTTTGTTTCGTCATTTTTCAATACATTTTTACTTGTAATTGTGGAAGGAAGAACACTAGTAATCTAGTTTCAAATAAATGATGGAGATCTATTATCTATTACGTTTTTAAAATTTTGTGTTTTATAATTTAGCTTTAAACAAATGGAGATCTAAGTTTAATTTTGAGAAATGTTGATTTATAGTAAAATATGGGTCACTTTTATACTAATATGAGTCACTTTTGTGAAAATATGGGTTACCTTTGGAAAAAAAAAAAAAAACTAATGAGATTATGGAAATTTTATGTGAAAATATGGATTACTTTTGTGAAAAAAAGGGGTCACTTTTGTAAAAAAAAAAAAAAGGGTTACTATTGTGAAAATATGGGCCACTTTTATAAAAAAATGGTCATTTTTGTGAAAATAAGAGTCACTTTTGTGGAAAAAAGGGTCACTTTTGTAAAATAAAAGGGTCACTTTTGTGAAAATATTACAGTTCACACGCGCTAAATATTCGATGTACAATAAAATTATTGTAAATCGGGGGCATGCAAAAGTTTTTGTTAACAATTATATTGTGGTGAGAATGGAAAGTTTACCGAACTTAGTTTAGATAACTATTGCTTTCATTATCTTGTCATTGATTTTTCAAATTTTGATGTGGATATTCAAGGGCTCTGTGGTGTAAGTAAATACTTGTACTCTTTCGTCGAGAAACTAGAAATGTAGGAAAGTTATTCATTTACTAATGCATAACATTGATTAAAATATTATAAAAACACATGATAGAGAGAGAAAAGAGGAGAGAGATAGGAAGAGAGAGGCATGTAGGTGGACCACACCTATTTTTTGGTCGGATTGTATCACGTGATGGGAGGCCACTTGCTGATTGTTCCACTGAAAGTTTATATAGTACCATTGAATCCTCAGTGGTACTATTTACGCATAAATTTAGTACAACTGAATACATATATAATACCATTATGTGCACATATAGTATCACTGTATATTCAATGGTAGCATTTGATTATCCAATGATATCAGAATATTTATTAGTTTGTACATATGCATGATTACATGAATACCCTTTGTTATGCATTTCTAAATGCCTAACATTCCTCCCTTTAAAATTCCTCCTCTTTCGTCATAGTACAATTCTCGAATGGCCAATGAAAATTGTTAACACGTCACTTCTTTAACATAGTGGCGAAGATTGAAGAGATGGTGAAAATGAAACACTTTGAACAAATTCCAGAAAATAAATGTATACTTAGGGCCTGTTCTCATTGACTGAACTCAGCTGAACTGAACTGAACTCTACTGAACTGAGCTGAGCTGAGCTGAACTGAACTGAACTGAATATTTTATAAGAGAAGGAAATTAGGAGCTGAACTGAACTGGATTTCAACGTAACAGAACAGGCCCTTAGTCTCTAAAAGTTTTTTCTCTTTGGATTTTTTTCTTAAACAATCACTAATTCACTAACTAAATAGGTATAAAAATCTAAATGAACAAAATTTTCATATTAGAGTTTATGTTACAAGCAATACTTTAGAACCGTAAACCCGTTTACTTAGTTACATCCCCTTCTATATCTGCATATACAATCAATTTAATCCAGCATACCATATCATTCTGTTAAGCCATGTCCTAGTGAAATCTCCTTTTGTTTCTACTAATTACAGCTTATTTCTTGTCCTTTAATAGTGAGCTAAAAATATTCTAATTATTAGCAAGTGCTTCGCATATTCAGTGTGTGATTTGTTGATCTTTGTCAATATTTATTTCTAGACAAAAATTTAAAATTAAAGTGGAATAAGAATCGAACATTTAATCTTTCAAGTACGTAGCAAACGATTAAGCTATTCATTACAAAAGAATTATTGAGCCTTGGAGGCTGACTGTAGAGTACATATCAGATACGAGTAAACGAATAAAAAGACATCTATATTCTGCATCTATTTGTTTAAACTTTAAAGATATGTACAGGATAGACGGCATAGCATCAGCCACTATGTTGCAAGGAAATAAGACTCGATTACAGTCGAAAGAGAAGTATGTTTCCTAGGTTGAAGTTACATAGCACATGAACTCCTCATTAGCTTCAAGGGCTGCCATAACTTCAGGTTTAAGACAGATTTCTAAATCTATACTTCCTTCTCCTTCACATCCCGGGTTTGTATTAACCCTTCCATCTTCACCCTTTCCAAACCCGACGCGGGCAGCCAAAGCTCGTCCCAGCCCAAATTGAGGTCCATACATATCAAACCTCGACGACCCTCCAATCGAAACCTTATTCCCTCTTAAAGGATCCACTCCTTTAGAGGGAGCCGTGACTTTTGGGTCATCAATAACTCTTTTGAAAAAACCAAGTATTTGTTCTTCATTTTGGGCCGTAATTGATTTGTTTAAACTCATTGCAGCCCAGCCCAAATCATGGCCCAATAACTGATCCACCTTACAAGCTCCATGAGCTCCACTAATGAAGTTCCCAACGTAGTCATCCGAAATGGGTGGGTTAAGTCGAGGTCGAGCATTTACAGGTATGATACATATAGTTGGTTGATCCAATGGTAACTTTCGAGCCTTCGTTATGGACCTCCAAACAAGCGCGATTAAGGCTTGAAAAGACGATATAATATTGTTGTGTGTTGTCCCACATTGTTGATTGGCCTCGGCCTTAAGTCTTTCCAACGAAGTTGATGAGAAGTGGAAGATTTTCTCAATTAATCGTTCAGATTCATAATTATTATCACCGTCTAAATATTGATCAAAATTTAGATACGGAAATTTAATGACCATAACATCTTCGTTATCGGGCTTATTAACATTCCACGGCTTATAGTTAAAAATGGGTGGACGTGAGATTTGTATAACCTCCTTTACACTAGCAAGATCACTATCAAAATTAAATATTTCAGACAACATATTTATAAAATGGATAAAAGTGGTACCATCTCCTACACAATGGTTCATGCTAAACCCAATGAACACAGCATCTAGGAGTTCTGTTACCTGGATTGATAATAGAGCTCTTGTATGACCATAATAATTATTCCAATTTTCACCTAGATCAAAAAAAGACGAAACCACGTCCGCAGTAACATCAGTAGGGGAGAGAATATCTGATACTGTGAGGCCAAGGGCGGCTGCACGAATGAGCCTCGCTCCAAGGCCGCCCTCGGTACAGTCGATAGAGATCGTACAAGCGTTCTCCTCGGGATATTTTTCCGTCTTTAAACGACCCGATAACGGGTAAAAATGGACAAGGGCATGGGAAAGTGAGTGTTTGAGCTTCTCAAACAAATGAGAGACAACATCTGTTGTAGCATCATTGTTAGAAGTATTAAGGGTACTAAAAAGAAGGCCCTTTTGTATGGGATACTTGAAAAGCATGAGTAGATCAAGAGGGGTTAAAAAGTAGGGTTGTTTTGTTAATTCGTAAATAATTTCATCAAACTTCGGCTTAACCAAACATTCTGAAACGAATTTGGTTGGTAGTATTTGATTCTGCGTTTTGTAAAATGAATAGATGTATACTGATTTTGGACGTAGATTTGATTCTAAGTAGGAAAATAAATCGGAGTTCTTTGGAATTCATTCTTTTATGGTAGTAGAGTTAGCTCTCGGCCTCGCGCACCATGAGGAACATTGTAGTACTCCGGTTCATTGTCACTTTTTTGGCATAATATGCATAAATTTGGCATATGCAAAATACGTTCATCTACAAAAACCACGATGACTGGCTCATTCGTTAAAGGGGGCTGCCCAGTTAATCTATTGGATTGTTTTAATTTGTCAATCTTCGGCGCCAATTCAGCAATTTACAATAAAGTGTGATGAGTCAGGTGCTGACGGTTGCGGTGACAAAGCATATTTGTGTTCACGCCGTCTATGACCGTCTGTAAACAGCGTATGTTACTGTTCAATAACTTCTTTGAAAAGCTTTGTGTTGTACTCTTGTATTATTAGGTAGGTAGTAGTTGGCTGTTTGGAGATAGTTATAGGTTAAGGATCTGTTACATATTTCTTGCGTAACAAGTTTGAACTAGATCCCCAAATAATCAAATTGAACAAGAATCGTTGAAGGTTATGTTTGCATCAAGGATGAGCCGTCTGCAAAGTATGGCTTAGAGATTTAAGCCTGTACACGATCGCTTCATTGTGCCGTCTGAATTGAATTATTTGGTAAGTGCAATCTAACCATAATCTTAGATACACATGTTGATAGTCGTTTTATGTAATTAGTGTGAACCCTATAGTTTTAAGTTGGTAATATTCGTTGATTGTTTGTTGTTTTAAAACTATTATGATTAGTATTTTTATTATAAACCGATTTCAATTTATATTTGCAATATTAGGATAGAAGATAATAATTTGAATGATATATATGTACTAATGTAATTTGAAGGTTTATACTGTAAAATAAGTATTGCATATATAAAATTCCAGACCTTTTATTAATACGCATAATATAGTTATGGCAAAAATTTTAGATCTTGGAAAAATTATACATTATAGATGTAAGAAAGTATAAAATTCTGCATAAATAGGGTATTATTTTATGTTATATACCAATAAAGTATGGGGTTATATATCTTATAAAAATAAATATAGAATTTTTTATTTTTATTGAAATTTGTAACCTAGGATAGATGGTTATAGAATCTTGTAATAACAGTACAATTCACTTGATTTTAAAAGGTAAATATGGTTCAAATATTTCAATTATTAAGTAACCAGAAACGGTTTTATTTGTGTATTAAAAAATCGAATGCGTGAAGGAAATATAATGAAGATACTAAAGTAATGGAGAAAAATATCCATTATTGTGTGATGTAATAAAAATGTGTATATAAATTACATGTCGATGTACATTAGTGAGTAATAGATTTATTTGTTGCTGTTGAATTACACTGTAGAAAAAGTATTTTGGTTTATTTATATATAAATTTAAGCCATTTTAATGAATGAAATATATACAACTTTCATGTACCAGGTACGAAAAGTGAAACCGTTGTGATTAACTAGGATTGAAACTATGGAGGATAAGGGACTTGATGATGAGCTGGATATTCATGATACTGTGATGGAAGTTGGTTGTGGAGAAGGTCCTGACATTGGTGAATCTGTAACTCGTTTCTCCCCGTTAAGTGGGGGACAAACCACACCCATGAATATGGTGATTGAAGATCAAATCGGGATGCAATTTCAGTCTCCACCACTCACTAATGGTGGGTAGCAATAATGTGCGCATAACAGCCTCTATAGTTCCTCCTATGGTGGGAATGGTTTTTTAAAACGTGGCAAGATGTGGAGTCCTACTACAAAGAATATGCATAGAAAGTAGGATTTGGGGTAACAAGGGCTCAAGGTGTGTATTCTAAAGGTGAGGTTAGAGACCGTATAACAACAACATGGAGGTGTGAGTAGTGCTGGGGAAGACCCGATATGAGGGCGCGGAGGGAAGCGAAGAAAAGGGCTAAGGCTATGGATGTGTCTGGTTCAGGGGGCGTAGTTGGTGGTGTCGTTTGTGTGGATGAATTAAGCCAACGGAAGAGGAAGTCAAAAAATGTGAGTGTAATGCAAAGATATATGCAGGGCTTAATGACCAGGGGGAATGGGTGTTGAAGAAAGTGGTATTAAAGCATGATAATCACACCCCTACTCCAGGAATGTCTAAGCTAGTCAAAGAGTATCGTATGAAGAGCTTTAGTAATAGAGATAGGAAGAGGGCGTTGAACTTCTACGAGGAAGGAGTGCCCATGTCACAAATTCATGGATGCTTGGCCACGGAATTAGACGGGCAAGAAAACGTGGAATACACTGTTAAAGATTTGGCACATGAGGTCTATAAGGAAAGAAGGATGAAGATGGTTGGAGGAGATACTTCCGCAATGATGGCCACTTTTCTGAAATTTAAAGATATGAATGAAATTTTGGTATTTTATACGATGCCCGGGTTTTGTTTATTGAATTATAAAATAAATTTTTAATCTTTATACGATTAGAGTATATTATTTTAACCGATTAGTATACATTATAAATGTATGTTTTACGCTTTGAATTATTTCCTTTGCCCAAAAAATATTTTGATACAAAAAATAATTTATTAATTTTTAAGAATTATAATCTAATAATTTTTTTAATAAAATTATAATTGAATTTGTACATTTGAAATATTGGTATTTTATCGAAAATAAAACTAATTTTATCCTAAAATTCTATCCAAATAGAATTTTAAATTAACAATTTTTATCTTATGAGGTCTATTTAAATCTATCCAACGTGGCGCGACACTTGGCGAAAACTTAGAACGCCAAGTGTCGCAACGTCGTGACCTGGCTAAAAGTTTAGCTTTATATATTAGTTATATGATATTAGATTGGACTCTAACCTATTATTAGCTACAACTATTTATTTCAGTTTTATATTTAATCATTATACTTATATTAAATAAGTTCATTCTTTCCTTTTTTTCACTAACATATGTCACAAGTTAAATATGTTTTTTTTCTAGTATCATTAGTGATCAAGAAATTTTTAAGATAGCTAAATCAAAATAATATTAACATCTGTAAATGATAAAAAAAAATAATTAGTGTTAAATATATGTAAAACAAATATCTTAGGCTCGTGAGCCCGTGGGCAAGCCCGACCCGTTAATAGAGCGGGCTTCGACAATTTATCAAGCACGTATAAATTGGTTCGGGTTAGCTACAATTAGCTCGTTGGACAAATACATGAAGTATAGGCCCGGTCCATTTCCAGTCGAATCCCGCAAACGATCACCTCTATGTGATATGTTTTCAATTGAATAAATTATTAATAAGTATTTCATAACAATTTAAGGTGTAACAGTATCTACATAGAGAGGGTGGCAAATTTTGTCAGTAGAAATTGACAATATCACAAATATTATTACTATTAACAAACCTTGCACTACTACATTTACCTTTACACCTGCATGTAAATTAGTCAATATTGACTTAGTAGGATTGATGGGAAATACTTATTAAAAAGCAATTTCACATTGGTGGTCTACGTTTCAACCGGTCGTTGACTTTGTTAAACACTGCGACGTCTTGGAAATTACGACCCGTTTTTTTAATTGTACAGATACTATTTTACAGCTTTTACCTTAAAACTTCAGAACTAATAAACGTTGACTATGTACATACAATTTCAGATCAGAGTCAACTGACTTAGGATAACAAAAGTCAACAGTATAATAAATTTATCCATAATGTGAAAAAAAGTCAAAGCGGTAATATCGCTACTTCAGTAATTATGCGGCATAAAACGTAGGGTGGCTTGTTATTCACGTTAAGGTCTTCAACAGTTTATTTGAATAAACACATTTTTTAGGTGAACATAATAATAAATTTGACCTTTAACCGATTCCACACCAATTATGTTAGCTGTATTTTCGACCTGTAAAATTAAGTATAAACGACCCCGAGCCATACTCGAAATTGTCACGACCAACCTGGATTTTTAAATTCATGTTGTTTACATGTGTTCTTTATTAATAAATAATTAAGTTTTTATTTGTCGAAGAGTTTATAAAAAAGATAATTGGCCTTATTTGGCAAATGGCTGTTGGCGGTTGGCTGTTGGCTGGTTCACTTGGCTTGTTTGACCAGCTGAAATGTTTGGCTGTTTATAATGGCTTTTGAAATTGGTTGTTTAAGCTGGCTGTTTATAAAAGTGTTTGGTAAATTAATTTGTGGTTGTTGGCTGTTTATTATATAATTTGTGGGCCAACAAGCCAAAAGCCAACAAAAAAGCTACTCAAAGCAGCTTTTTCATTTTGGCTTAAAAGCCAGCTTTTTCGCTGACTAAAAAGCCAATTACCAAACACATTTTTTGGCTGTTTGACCACCTAAAAAAGCCAAAAGCCAAAAGCTAACCAAAAAGCCATTAAAAAGCTAATTACCAAACATGGCCAATGACATTACTAATCTGATGTGTCATGTGTATGGCTATATATTTTGCTAAACGTTAGTCAATGTATATACATTTTATAATGTATTGTAAATTTTGGGAAAATAATTTTCATTTTATCCATTGCCACGTCGAGACTTATTTTGCTTAACAACATTTCATATTTTATGATATCAAGCCTCAAGCAGGGAGTGGGGGATAGCCAAGTGGTTAGATCTTCCCTCACGGTTCCAGGATCGATTTTGACCACCGCTCTAGTGGCTCCCTATACAAAAAAAAAATAAAGGATATATCAAGCCAAAAGCTACCCCGAGATGAGCCTTAATTTTAGCCAGGTTCCTCCACGGTTTTACACAAATGAGCTCGAATACTTCACTAGCAACAAAGTCTTATTTACTCCCTAAGACCACTCTCAATGGTGAGCAAAAAAAATGCTCACCCACTCTCTCTCTACCCACTTTCTCTCTCAAGAAATAAGTTTTGCTCATGGGCAAATTTTTTCACATATTCTCTCCCAATGGTGAGCAAAAAAATTGCCCACCCACCACTCTCTCTCTCTTACTTTTTCAATACCCCACCATTACTTTCTCTCTCCTACACAACACTTCTTTATTTATTTATTTCATTTATATTTTAACAATGTTACTCCAAATAAATAAAAACTAGTTAAAATTTGTGTAACTTATTTTTTTTATTTTTGTCCTTTTTATCGTTAAAATTTGT